ATGTAAAAGACCTGTACTTGGAAAACTAGATGACATTGAAAAAAGAAATAGAGGAAGATTTAAACAAGTGGAAGAATATACCATGCTCATGGATTGGAAGAATTAATATCATTAAAATGTCCATACTACCCCAAACAACTTATAAATTCAATGCAATTCTTATTAAAATACCAACAGCATATTTCACAGACCTAGAACAAACATTTCAAAAATTTATGTGGAACCAAAAAAGATCCCGAATAGCTGCAGCCATCTTGAGAAAAGAGAACAGAGTGGGAGGGATCACATTACCAGACTTCAAACTGTATTACAAAGTCACTGTAATCAAAACAGCCTGGTATTGGTAAAACAACGGGCATATAGATCAATGGAACAGAACAGAGACCCCAGAAATAGGCCCACGCCATTATGGTCAGTTAATATTTGACAAAGGAGGCAAGAGTATCCAGTGGAGTAAAGACAGCCTCTTCAACAAGTGGTGCTGGGAAAACTGGACAGATACATGCAAAAAAATGCTCTTCTTTTCTTGATAATGAAACGTGACATTATTTCTCCCTCCTTCTCTCCCCTCTCTCCCCCACACCTAGAATGTAGGCTTCAGGCCACTGTCTTGCTCTCTGCCATATCCTTGGGCTGAGGACACCTGGCTGGGGTGGAGGCCCACCCGAGCTTTCTGCTCAGCCTGCTCATTTGTGCAAGGATAGGTGGGCTTTTCCCAGCTCTATCACCCTGTCTCCTTGGACAGGACCTCCTGACTTCACCCCCCAAGGAGTCTACCCAGCTCTGTCTCCTAAATACCTCAACAAGGCCCTCTTTGCTTTGGCTTTTATTTCTCTGCTTTTATTCCCCCTTTTTGCCTTAAACATAAAAATACAAAACTGGAGCATACATTTAGAACATTGAATGTGCCCCAGAAAATTCCATGCAACATGTCCTCTTAGAGGAAAACACTTTCCTCATTTTTGGCTTCTGTCTCCTGCTGGGCTCCACGTTTTAGGGCTGGTGGTCATTTTAAGCAGCCTCCCTGTGTTGTGAGCGCAGCCCAGGGCGGACTTTGGCCCCCGTGTTTGCAGGCCTGTCCCTGGGCTGTGGTGAGAATGGCGGGCTGCGTCCAGCTGCTCCTGCTCCTCCTGGCCCTCCACCGCGCCGAGCCCTCAGGTTGGTGTCTGCTTCCTAACCGCATCCTTCCGGACAGTGTGGGTTTGGTCAGGCAGCTTTTCCTAGGACAGAGGAGCCCCTGAGTGGCCAGCAGATCTTAACTCAGCTCCCCAAATAGCCCTCCTGATCTCTTTCTCATTCATGGCAAAAAAGTGGGAAATGATGGTGTCCCTTGGGGTCCTTCCAGAAGAGATGCCGAGAAAGAATCAGGGGGATGAGAGGTTGAGCCTGGTCTGGTGGGGACAGGAAAGGTGGCAGCCAGGCCCCAGGCAGACGGCAGGCAGTCATGGCACCGTGTACCCTGGTCCCCAGGAAGCGGGTATCGCAATTCGTGGGGAGTCCACCAGTGTGATAGCATCTGCACTCTTATCTTGCTCCGCAGTGTTTCTTTCCTCCCCAAAAGCAAATGAAGTGCTGGTAAGATGGAAGCGTGCTGGCTCCTATCTTTTGGAAGAGCTCTTTGAGGGGAACTTGGAAAGAGAATGTTATGAAGAAATCTGTATCTATGAGGAAGCAAGAGAAGTATTTGAAGAAGACAAGAGAACTGTATGTACCCCCAGCAGGAACTCACCCACTTTCTAAGTATTCACATTTCTGCTGCCTCGGAGGGCATGATTTCTCAAAGAGACGAAGCTGAATTAACAGCCTGCTTACTTACCTGCGAGGCTGATTTAATCCTAATTTTATGGCTGGGAAAACAGAGACAGAGAAGTGAAATAATTTTCCATGTCTAGGATGTAGGGGACCCGGGTGCCAACTCAGTTCCACACCCCTAAACTCCTTCTGATTAAGCAAATTAGGGCACTGATCAATTTACTCATCACGGACGTCACTCCGCTTTCCTGGCTCTGTCAGAATTTGATATTTTTTAATGGAGACCTAATTGTTTCAATGTATCATCAAATTTTTAAGAAGCAAAAATCCTCTCTAGAGTGCCTACCTAGTAAGAAAATCTCTCGTAATCTATAGTTTGGATTAAGCAATAATCTATCATTTGGATTAAAAGTGACCACAGGTATGCTCTAAATAATATAGGCAAACCATTCTCACTTACTCATTAGTGTATCAGGAGAAGAGAAACAAGTCCAACCTGACAGGCCGAGTGCATATTTGTGTGTAAATATTTCAGAATAGTAAAATATTTCATGAAGATCTCCTAGTTTTACATACAAAAGCAGCAATATTTAAAGATATCCTGAATAAAATACCGACTTGTTTCTCTAGTATATTTTTTAAATGTTTTTTAAATCATCATTTCTTGCATGCTTATATACGAGAGGACTCTTCCAAAGTAGACCATCTTTAACCAAACTAGGAGAAATTCAAACTTTCTGCTAAAAGGAAAATCGG